AGTTGAAGTGGAGAGCTAGTTTGATTGAAGAAAGATGGTAAATTTGATTTTTGACATATTGGGTTAGTGGTAATGACTGAATGTTCACGTGGAAAAGTAAAGTAGAACTGATTTTTCTGTATGACTGGAAGGGATTTTCTACAAAAAACAACATGGAAATGGAGAGTCTAACCAAAATCAGATACAGGATAAAAAAGAAAGAAACTAAACATACTGTCACTCTCTTCTCTTTTGATGTGTAATTACTATGTGGAAACTGAGCATATTTGCATTGTTTGTGTTTTCTTTAGCTGGCATTATGGAGAAGAAATAAATGGAATTGTGATGGAAATGTTATTTAAGTTTGTTGAACTAAAATAAAAATAAATGAGGAGGGAATGGAAAATGCTGGAAAATGTGAGTAAATATTTTAGCTTTGGGGGGATGTGATTTGAAAAACTTGTATCTATCATGTGATTAGATTCTGTGAAAGGATTTATGACCAACATAAATGATGCTGGGAGACTTCTAAGGCAAGATTTTAACTATTTGGAAGGAAAACAGATCCTCAGAGGGGAGACCACCTTTCCATCTGTCCTCACAGACGACCGAGCTTGCAACATTCAGTTGTAAGGGCTAACCTTTCTTAAATTTCTTCACAGGAGTGTCCTGAAGATGCTTACCCTGTTTCTCAATTATTGGGGTATCCCTCAATCCCTCACCTTCTGGTTTCTCTCCCCTTGTTTTATCTCTTCCTCTTGTGCCTTTTTTGATAGCAACTATAAAGCAGTTGTTATGAAATGTCTATAAAACTTTTATTTGAAGCAGAGATGATTATGTGGTTTGGGAGGAAAGGAGAAAATAACTAAATAAAAGGAAGTGACTCTAAGCTGTTAAGAAAGAGGAGACCATTATAGCAACATCTTGATTTTGTTAAGAGACAAGCTGAAGCTATCCAGAGCAGGCAGGGAACTAGGTGATAATAAGAGAAAATGTGTCTTACAGACAAAGGCGCAGACAGCAGGGGAGAAGAGTTGAGGGAGAGAGGCTAACGCTAGGAAGAGGGTGCAGAGAGGATGGCTAATCTCTCTGAATCACACTGGGGGGAGCACAGGCTGTTTGAACTCCTTGGCAACTTCAGCCTGATCTCAGAGTGGATTGTGAGGAATGAGAACAAAAGAAAAGTTCACCCTGAGTTCTTCTTGTTAGAGCAGGAGAAATTGTTTTGAGGTCAGCACTAAAAGATGGTAGAAAGTGGAAGTGAGTAACAGAAAAATAAATAAATAAATAACATGTCGAGTCACTGGGAGCTTGCCTAGCAAAAGTGAGATAAAACCACCACTGACAAGACAGTCAACCTGGGCCTACCATATACTGCTGTGCAAGTCACTGCCAACCAGTGCTCAGCTGGCTAAAATCTGAAGATAATGCCTCAACTACCCTGAGGATATTTATTCACTTGATAGTCATTGAGATCTCGCTGTGCCAGCCAGGATGAATGCTGGATGGTGTATTAGGAGCCCTCTGTCCTTGGACAAGCTGGTTTTATGAGACCAGAGAGGATCAGTGGAAAGTGAATCTGGGAATTTGATACTGACCCTGGAAGGACATAGGCCCAACAGAAAATAGGAGTGAGAAGTAGGAGAACCAACATAATAACTAAAAAGGAATGTGTGTATGTTTCAACTCCTTGTTATGAATTAACTGATTGCATCACCCCCAAATTCATATGTTGAAATCCTAACCCCTAATTTCATAATATTAAAAGGTATAAGATTTGAAATAAATTTGAGTTCTTGAGAGTAAAGCCCTCATGGATGGGATTAGTTCTGTTATAAAAGAGACTTTAGGAATGTTCCAGCCCTCTTTTTACCATATGAGGATACCACAAGAACACGGCAGTTTGCAAGCTCATTAGGACCTAACCATGTTGGTACTCTGATCCAAGACTTCCAGACTCCAGAGCTATAATTAATAAATTTGTTGCTTGTAAGACCCCATCTGCAGTATTTTGTTATAGCACCCTAAGCAAACTAAGACCCTTCCCAAAGAGGAAGGACACAACTAATTACTAGTCCTTTTTTCTTTAAGCCTAAAATTTCTCATCCATAAAATAGAAGGTGAACAGGATGAAGCATACCTTCCTTCTGACAAAGTTAGAATGGTTCCAGGAGTTACCTGGGGATCATGAAGTAAAAATGAGACAACATAGAGATCTCTTAATGTGAGAATCTGTACAGTTACATGGGCTAGGAATTATCAGTATATTTTCTGCATGTTGTGATCAGTTGAGAAAATTTTAACTGCTAAAGATAACAAAGCCTTTCCTCCAGATTTTAAGCCAGAAGTTAAAAACTAAGTACCCCCATGTTTGTTTGGCTAATAGAGTATTTTTTAAAAATTGATGCAGCATTTGAAAATTGTGAGAACCCAGATTTTTGGCTTCTCTTGGAAAGGCTGGAGTTTTTGACTGTAGCAGACCCACAGCAGCAATTAGCTAGAAGTGGGTAGCAGCTGTCCTGTTTAGATGGCGACACCTGCTCTCTGGTTTGATCATCTCTACCACTCACATTAGGGTGACCATATAACTTGTCCAAACTGTGCACTTTTGAGAGAAAAGGGATGTGGGGACGCCATTAGTGATTATACCTGGACCACAGGCATAAACCAGCGTTGTTGAGCAATGAGGATATATGATCACTTTGTCAATTTGTTTACACTGTTGTTGCTCATTGCTATTTGGGATTTGGGGGTCACAACTGGGAATCTCACAAGGAAGGAAAGCGTGTAAAATGAGGAACAACATGAAGGTCGAAAAACAAGCAGATATTTAAAAGAATATTAAAACGAATCCCAATTACACCAAACCTTTAGGTGAAGGGAAAGCCTTCCTGGGGGCTGGCTCAGCCTGTAAGTTTGACCTTCCAGGCTTCCTGCCCTACACAGCACTGTCAGTTTTAATAAGCTGTAAGCTCTTAGCTACAAGCAAGACTAATCAAACTGCAGAGAGCAGGCTGTTCCTAATCAGAAAGGTACAGGCTAATCATTTAACTGTGGTGTCTCAGTGAGCTTTCTCCAAGCTGCTTCTCCAGAAAAAACATCCCTGATAAGATAACTGCTTTACCCTCCAGCCTTGACCCTCTGATGGTCTTGGAAATTTTTATTAAAATGCTCTAATTATACAAGAATTTGGCTTAAAATTGTTTTAGAAAAATATTTCCCCTGAATGCCAGCAATAAAATATTTCTCCTTCAAGATATATGGGAAATTGCAGACTTCCATTACTGGAGATCATTTGAACTAATGAAAGCCCCCAAACACTTCAGGGTGCAGTTAGTCCCAAACTTGGATGAGGAGTTGGGGACATGACATGGCAACCCCTACTGAGCATCTATAGGTGCCAGCATGGTAACATGGCCTACACTTGCTAGTACGTGCTATTCCTCATTGGTTTATTCCTCTCTATTCAATCCTAACCCTTCAACCTAGGAGCAAGTCAAAACAAGAATCTATTTAGTGCAATGGTCAACTGTTGAGTTTTACTCAGATGGAGCTACAATCTAAACTGGGGGCTGAGTATCTGGCTAAAAAAGGAACAACATGTAATTTGCCTGAAGGCAAATTACTCAACTTTCCTAAAATTTCTGGTAGATCATCAGGAAGGCTACTCTACATTCCTGAAACTCAAATTTTAACCTCAATATAGTAATACCAGTACCTCACAGTGAGGCTTTAAAGGTCAGTGAGATTCATATGGAATGCATTTACTAAGTTGCTTGGGTACAATAAAACCTCCCAAGATTGTGATTATTATTTTTTTAAATTATGCACTATCATGGTCTTATGGCCTCTGATAATATAAATATAGAGATAAGGAAATCTTCAAAACACTTATCATTTAATAATAGTTCCTCTTTGGATTCTGCATTTAGCATGAAAGTTCTTAGAGAAAAAATATTTTTCCAGTGAGAAATCTCTAGAACATTTCTGGTACCATGGAAATTTAATATTTTGTCTTAATAGACTCACTACCACTTACAGAAAGCAATACACAGTGAATTTTTTAAATTAAAAATGTTTATTAGATATTGCCTTTAATAGATTTACTACATTAAAGGACAGAAACATTTTTTGAAATGTGCTAATAAGAAAAAGACCCAGGAAACTGAATAATGTTGAACAGAATTTTCAGTATTTTGGACATAAATAAAACTCATAACTTTTATATGGACTCTGGGATATTTACTGATAATCCTTCAACAATGGGTTTGGCATTGAACAAGAAATATGAACACATAAATAAGTATAATACAATAATTCCAAGAGAATTAGAAACTCTGTTGTCCATAAGTGTCCTTTGCCATTCACCGAGAAGTTACATCACTAAAAAGAAAAACATATAGATGGGTTCCCAACACATAAAAATACAAGAATCACATAATAACTACAAACAACATTCAGTAATGCCCATTAAAATTTAAAAACCAGAAAAACATAAGAGGGTAAAACAATGCATTTGTTACCCCTTCCAAAAAAAGTCTTTTTGGTTTGGTTATTGTTATTTTACAAAAATGACTATATACGTGTATTTGTATTCCTTATAAAAATTGACAAATATAGAAAAGCACAAAATAAAATAAAAATAACCAGTCATATCAACAAAAATATTACTCCTCTTCTGATAAGAACAAAATCATACAATCAGAGAGGACCAAGGAAGGACCCCCCCAGGATCTCTGATGCTAATTCACCAACAACTCCAAAATTGATAGGCAGAACTTCATTTTAGTGCTAAATATCTATTCTATTGCCTGTCTCCTGGTACTGCTGTATTTTTTTAAAGTCAGGTCAATAGTGATGAATAAGCAAGGATGAAAAGTATGTTTAGTACTCCAATCTAAAACTTCGTTTCTCAAGGAAAAAAAAATGTTTTCTTGGACATCATGCATGCGAGGCAAGTGTTCTAACCCTGAACTGTATCCCCAGCTTTTTTTCACTTTTAATTTTGAAACAAGGTCTTACTAAGCTGCCCAGGCTGGTCTCTAACTTGGAATCTTCCTGCTTTCAGTCTTCTGAGTAGCTAAGATTATAGATGGGCTTGGCATTGAACAAGAAGTATGAACACATAGATGTACACTACCATGCCTGGTTGTTCCTCAAATTTTAAAGCTAGAAGATTCTTAGAAGCTCATATCCACTATGCCTGTCCCTGTTTATTCATGAGGTAACAGGCACAGAGGCCTAACTCGTTTTCCTAGGCAACACAGCTAAGTAGGACTAAAACTGATCTTCTAATTGCCCACCAGGCTTCATCCAAGGGGACAAACTAGAAATGAATCTTCACAAGTGACAGGACTACAGTCATTTCATGATTAGGATTTTTATGAACCTGAAGGGTGGAGTATAGTGGATCTGTATGACCAGTCGAAAGCAGCTAGGTACACTTTTGGATCCTACAGGCAAGAACAGTGGTTCTAGGAAGACAAATAGACCCAATGGCCAAATGAAGGAGAATGACTTGGGTCAAAGTTCGTAGGAGCATTGGTTAAGCCCCATGTTCCAGGGCAGAGGCAAACATGGTTAAGTCACAAGAGCCCTTTTGGAGTGACTGTATTACCACGGCAGTATGGAAGGTAAAAGTATCCAAAAGAGCTCCCCAACTATGAGGATCAAAATTAAGAAAACCCCAATCAACAGACATGTGTCCACAGAGGTTATGCTACTCATGCACAGTCATCTCCATCTCAGTGTTCCCAGAATCTCATCCTCCTCTTCGAGGGTATCTTCTCACCTCTGGTTTTTTACTAAATGAGTCTCTACCTACTAATAGAATTGGCCTAGAAATTTTACAGATGATGGTTCAATCCTTTTGGATCAATCTAGGCCATTTAAGTCTTTAGAAGACATCTTTTCACCCTCATGTGGGCAGTTTGGGACAGACATTCTTTATTTTGACAGATTTTATTCCAGATTTAAATGCTTCAAACTACGACTATTTCTTCTTTTCTTCTTTCCATGTTATAACCGTGATACAAGCTCAGTGCAGAGGCAGATTTGTATTGCCAATTCTTAACATGCTTGCCTGCGGATGAGTTCTTTCAACTGTGCCAGTCTGTCACTTTTTAATGCTTCCCGGATGGATTGGAAAAATCCAAAGTAGTGTTCAAAATTGTGCATCATTAGCAGGACCCCAGCCAGCAGCTCATTGGTCACCAGTAGATGGTGGATGTATGCACGAGTGTGATTTTTACAGGAATAACAGGAACACCCTCTTACCAGTGGGTTAAAGTCCTCTTGATACCTGCAAAAGGAAGCCACAGTGACATTCTAGAAAGTGAAGAATATAAGAAAGCCACAACCTAGACTATCTGTTTTGCTGGTAAAGTTACCAATCGTTAATAACACGCCTGGCAAATGTTTAGTGCTAGGCACCTCCATAAGATGGCAATGTGGATAAAAGTTAACAAAGAATGCAATGAATCACGGAGACTCAGGAGTTTTCCTCTAATGGATGCAATCTTCAAGGCTGGTGGCTAAAAAATCCACATGGTCACTCACTCATGTTGAGCACTGAAAAGTCACACAAGGTTAGGAAATGCTGGTCTGGAGAATGACACTTCTCGCCCCTTGCCATCAAAAAACATGGCATAGCCTTCTACTTCCATAGCTGTTGTAGTTTACAAAGCATTTTCACACACACTGTCTTATTTAATCTGCATCTACTCTCTGAGATAGCTGTTTTTATTGTCATTCTACAGATGAAGACTACTGTTGGGATTTATAGGACTCTGGGCCTACCGAGAGTGAGTTCTGGCTCCACAACTCACTTGGGAAAGTCACTTAACATTAATCTGTGCCTTTGTTTCTCATCCTTGAACCAAAGTTATTATACCTCAGAGTTGTTGAGAGGATTAAATGAGTTAAGAGAGCTGAAAGGGTTGAACTCTGCTGGGCACATTCTAAGTACTATACAGTTTTTACCTTTTATCAGCTATTAAAGAGAAGCTAAATGACTTGACCAATGTCTTATATTTAAAAGCAGTGCTAGAATTTGTCTCCAAGTCTCCAAAACTTCAAGTCTAGCACTGGTAATAAGCATACTACAATTTCCAATTACATCTACAAGAAAAAGGGAATTTTAGTAGTACTGTAACCATTTATATTTTAAAATACAAAAATATTTTAAAAACAGAAATTAATCTCCTTGGGTATTTTTCAAAGTTAAATGAGTTAGTTTTTACTATTTCAGACCTACATCAAGAAGCCCCAACAAAATATAAACTAAGATTTTCATGTTCTTTCTTAAATTCCCAAGTCTCTAGTATTATTAGACTGACATAAGTAAGTCAGAATCCCTAGAATGTCCCTTCACAGAAACCAACAAATCCTCATCCTGAAGGGAATGCACCAAACTCACAGAAACACCCCTCTCTGGTACTGAGGATTATCACTTTTGATCAAATGTGGAGTTACAGTGTATCTTAGTTCATTCTTCATTGAGGCAAATGTTTTATTTAAGATTTATAAGTGCACATAACCAAGACAACTTGAGTTCCTTACAAGTTATAAACTTTGTTTTATCTTGAAATCCAATTTCACTCCATCATTATTTAAAGTACTTGGAAGGAATAAAAGACACCAAACAAATGGATTTGGTCTAATCTTTTGACAGCCTTTCTAAAGCAATTGTTATCTAGCCTCAATTTTTTGACAAGATAAAGTACACAAATTCATCTGCAGAAAAAAGTTTTTCTGGAACCAAATTTGAGAAGGCCTAAGTAATATCCAACTATAAATATTTTATGAAGTCATAAACTGAAAAAGGAACAGTTACATAAACTTTTAAAACAGACGAAAATTAAAAAGTTAGAAATCAAAATTCAAACTTCAAAAAATTTTTACCTTTTTTCGTTCAGATTAATTTCAAATGATGTCATTTCTTGGTTGCAATCAGTTGTTTTAATTTTCTCTATTTGATCCACAGATTTGATTTCTTCTTGTGTCCCATTCTGTTGTAATACTGAAGGACAAACCAACAGAAAGTCTTGAATGAAGATTAGATAAAGAGTAGCCATTGGAAGAATTTTATTTTAGTTATTATTTCATGCCCTGTGACCCTGTAATTCCACTCTTGAAATTTATCCTAAGGAAATCACACAAGAAAGAAAAATAGCAGTATACTCCCAGATGATCACTGACCTATTATCTACCGTATCGAAACAATTTGAGATATTCAACAATGTCTAAGCAAACTATGGTTTTAGGTATGTAACATATAACCCTACTATCAAGGAATGATTTTAACTAACACTTGATATGTATGTATGTGCTGGGGTTTTTCCTTAGCCTCATCTCAAGTGTACACGCAAATAAAAACAGGGCTTTGTATTGGTCTATATGGTCTATATTTCAAGTAGATTATACAATATTAATTGGCAAAAACTTTAATGTACAACATACTTACACAAACACTACACACAAATATGATTAATAAAACTATTTCAGTTTTCCTAATCATGAAGGAATGTGGCTTTCTCTAGCCAAAAAGGAACTTGCTCCTTCCGGAGACACAGAACTCAGTGTCAGCCTCTTGTAGAGCTTTGCATATATTTATGGTACTGGAAGTCTAAGTTATCTCTGTCCTGGAAGTAATTTAGTTTGTAAATGAAGTCATGAAAATGTATAAAGTGTTAATGGTATGCCTATTCACACATATCATGCTCTGGTCTGTCTAAAAGAACAGTAAAATTGACCTCCTATATATAAGAACTTGATCAACCTAATTTATTTTGTATCTAGAAGTAATCTGATTTAGATTAATATCGAAGTTGCTTTATAAAAGTGTGACATCTTCTGAATGAAATTTAATCACTTGTAGGAAATAAAGGGAACATTTAAAGAATTCTGGGGTCCTATTCAAAGTTAAGGTTGGCTGTGGTCAAGGAAGAGTTCAGAGGAAAGCAGAGAAAGGAAAATGAAAAGGAAAGACCATCTCCAAAGCCAGAGAGGGATGGGGCAGCACAACTGCTTCAAGAGACCCCCAGCCACAGGCTGTGTCCGGTTCCTTTTCCACTGCCAAGTGAGTGTTAGAATCTAAAACTGCTTGCCTTGACTTCTGAATAACTAAACAATAAAAGAAAAATGGCAGTGCTTCAAAGCAATATTAACAGAGGAAAACAGCTTTCTCATCTCAGTGTGTAAAAAAACTCCAAAAAGCTAAATGCAACACCAGGATCAGACGATGGTAAGGCTCCCTGTAATTTAATTGCATGGGGTTTACAAAAATGGGGCTTGCAAAAAGCAAAGAACTCTTTTGTGGGGGCTCGGGGGCGGGGGGACGACAAATTAACTTTTACCAAGCAGTTCAAAGGTTTTCAAAATTTTCTTAGATTTTTATCACAATTTATTCTGAATGTTCTTTTTTCAGCTTAACAGAAAAGGTCTTGTTTTTTACTCACTACAATATCAATAACCCACAATTGAAGAGTTACATGTATAGTTTTAAGTACCTAGTTTTGTATGCCAAAATGCCAGGGCATATAGATAACACACAAAGATGGTGTTTTATAAAAGACTGGCTTGACGTGTACATATTTCTGACTGGTGACTCAGGCCAAAAATCAATAGGAAATAGAAGAAACTTCCTTAAGACAGAGATGAACTTCAGAAGACCTACATGTCTCTTCAGGATTCGGCTGGTAATCAAAGCTGAAAGCCAGTGCACATCCTCGCTCTGTCACTAGATAAGGGAAAAAACTCTCAAATAAGTCCACTCCTCTTTCGATACACTCGAGCACTTCATCTGGCCGGCTAACACCACAAATGAGCCTGTGAAAATGACAATAAGAACAGTGACATGAGGACAATGCCCAGAATGACATCAAGAGTCTGTCTGATGAAAAGGGCATTAAAAGCAATAATAACAAAAGACAGCAATCAGGGTTGGAGTGGTTGGCAGCAGATAGCAACATGTGGTAGAAAGAGCTTAGGGCTTTGAAGGAAGAGAGAGATGAGCTTACATCCCAGCTCTACCGTTTATTTAACTGCTGTGTTATTTTGGGCAGGTTTTTAACATCTCTGAGTTAAGAGCAATAATATATTCCTCCACAAAATCACTGTGAGGATTAATAAGATATTTGGAAAAGCATACAGTATACAGTATAGTTCCTGACTCTATAGAAAAACTCAATAATGGTTGGTTTCTCTTTCCCTTCTCATCCTTTCTGAACAACCTCCCTGGTCTTGGGTGAACTTTATAGCTCGTCTACATACTATAGAGATTTTTTTTTTTTTTAAAGAGTGCAAAGCCATATACTTTCTTTCTCCTTCAAATTATTAACTGAATTTTTCTTATAATTATTTTTCATAATTGGTTCAGTAAAGATATTTTATCTATCATATTCAACATAGCTTCATATATACAGCAACTCTTGCTCTTAGAATTTGAACTCTGGCCACAAGATCTAAGAATCTAATTGGTTTTCTTTTTATTTTCTCTGTTAACAGAAAGTTTGCACCGTAGAATGAAATGGTGTTTTCTGAGGGACTGGATAAGGCATTTGGAGAGTATTAATAATTTTCAGGCAGGTTTTGCCACTAAAACAAAATGGTAGAGATGCATTTGATCAGGCTGGCTGATTGAAACTATTTTTTATGTTTGTTTTTCTACTGATAGCCCATTTTTCATGAACTGGAAGAGAAGAGCTTACATATTCTCTGATTTCTAAAAGAAGTTCAAAAAAAGGCTTATGTAATATTAAACAAGCAGAAACCTTAAATATATGCCAGTTTTCCTGACTACAGTTTCCTTCAAATAATGTAGTGTTTTAGAACTCCTCTCCAACTGAAGCTGGCATTTCTACATGCTGATAGAAAGAAAAACAATCCCAGCTTTCAAATTCAGTAACAGACATCTGTGAGCACTTAACACAAAAAAGTCCAGAAAATGACTAGGAATACTAGTGCTGAGTTGTTATCTGAACCGGAATGAACAAGGACAGGGAGTGCAATGAATGCAAGAGGATGAGGATAAACACTGGGGCAAAAGCTGGGTGGGAAAACCCTTTTCTGTAGAGTCTTTACACAAATGTGCAAAAATTCATTAACCTGTATCCAATCATTTGTGCATTTTATTGCATGTTATACCTGAATTTTAAAAAAAGTAATAAAATGACATATTCTATATACTATTCAATAGCCCTCAAGGAATACTAGGCAGCACCCCATAATCAAACTTTATATATATATATATATATATATATATATATATATATATATATGCAGGAAAAAAAGCATGATTATACACACCAAGTGAAATAAAAGACTACAAAGTCTTTTTTTTCAACTGACAGATAAAATTGTATGTATTTGTCATATACAACATGTTTTGAAGTGTGTGTGTGTGTGTGTGTGTGTGTATTATGAAATGGTTAAATCTAGCTAATTAATGAATGCATTATCCCATCTAATTATCACTTTTATGGTGAGAACACTTAACATCCATTCACATTGCCTTTTTCAAGAATACAATTTATCATCATTAACCATGGTCATCATAAGGTACAACACATCCCTTAAACTTATTCCTCCTGTGCAATTATATATCCTTTGACCAACATCCTCCTAACCCACCCACCCAAGTCATTTATAAACACTATTCTACTCTATACTGTGACATAACTTTTTTAGGTTCCACATATGAGTGAAATTGCGCAGCACTGGTCTTTTTGCGCTTTGGTTATTTCACTTAACATAATGACCTCCAGGTTTACCTGGTGTTTTGTTTGTTTGTTTGTTTTCCTCTTTTAAGAAAGAAAGAGCTAAAATTTAGGAAGTCTAAGGTGACATGAGCTGTTTTCAGAAACTTCCAATTTGTAGCTTTGAATCTTGTAGATCATCTTTGCTCATGAGTACATAGCAAATCCTGCAAGTATGGAAACCTGAGAACCAATCCCACTTATGTTGCCAATTCCCTGAACTTCAAAAAATGACACTACTCACTACCTATCTCAAATCTAAAACTTCTTATTAGTAGAGCCTCAATGCATTAGGCATCCAAGATCTGTCCTCAACTTTCCTTGATTTAAACCAGAATTCCACATGACTCTACACCTGTCCTCAAGTAACAAGCTAGAATGAACAAAAACAATATTTATACTTGGCACAAGAATGTGAGGAAACAGTATAACACTTGCCCTCACTTATGGGGATCAATACAGTAATTCACATGGCAATCATCCTCTGTTCTACATTCTGAAATCAAGGCAGGCTAAGCTTGATGAAAACTTCCCTCACAGTCTGCTGAGAAAAGGACAGAAAGGACATAATCAAAACATCAGAAGGCATACTCATACACAGACTGTATCATACACAACTGGCCAGCACTCCTTTCTTGTATCCCTTGAGGTTGGCCCGCATCCCAATTGAACACTAGCCTCGGTTTGTCCTCCGGGAGCTCTGCAGTGACAGACGACAGCAAGTGCAGTCTAGTCTCCAGGGTTGCTGGATTCCCATAGAAGCCATCCAGAAGGAAGCCTCCAACAGGCCGCTTGGCTGTCTCTCGTGCTGACCTCAACCTCTCCTCCATCACGTCTCCACCTTCAATCACTCCAATGATGATACTTTTCTGAAGGACCTGAGGTAAGAAAAGGATTGATGCTCTTAACCATTTTCAGTAAGACTCTTTTTTACATGAACCTTACATGGTCCAATGGACAGAAGAGATCACAACAAAATTACAGCAGATGAAACATCAAAGGAAGGTGATGCTCCCCAACAATCTCCAGAAACACTCTGTGCAAAACACAAAATAGGTAAGAAAAGACTGAGGAAACAGGGGCAATCAACAGGAATCAGTATGTCCTAACTTCGATTAAAACAAAACTAAACAAAATTCAGAAAAATCTGAATGTCCTATATGCATATGGAAAGCTACTAAGCTTCACCAGCAAGGAAATGCAAAGCGGAAACAATAAGATGCCATTTTTGCCAATCACAATAACAAAAAAGTTAAAACACAAATAACAGAGTGGAGGAAAAAGTGTAAGGGAAATGGCATGTAAACACCCTCTCATTTACCTTAGACTTTCACCAAAAAAGAGTAAAAATTAGTTCAGCTTTTTAGGAGGGCAAGTAGGTAACACCTATTAAAATATCAATATCCATCTTTGGATCCTAAAATTCCACTTCTAATGATCTGTCCTATAAATACATTCATTCATATGCATCAAGACATATTTACAAAGATATTTAGAATAATGAAAAACTGGAAACAACCTAAACATTCATCAGCAGAGCAAAAGCATAAACTATGACATATTCATAACATGGCTTCCTATAGTTATTTTAAAAAGAAAGAAGTAGATATACTAATTAAGTGCATGGACAGGAGTTTTAGAACTTTGTTGACCAAAACCAAATAAATTGTTGAACATGTAATCATATGCCCATAATACAGGCATGCATATCTATGCTTGTTGATTGGTTGGTTTGTTTTTGGTACTGCTGATTAGACCCAGAGTCTTTTTACCACTGAGCCACTTTCTATTTTTTATTTTAAGACAGGGTCTCACTAAGTTGCTTAGGGCCTTACTAAGTTGTTGAAGCTGGCCTTGACTTGTGATCTTCCTGCTCAGCCTCCCGATTCACTGGAATTACAGGCATGTGCCACTGCACCCGATTCTAGTATTCATTACATGTATACAACTCCAAAAATAACTGGCTCTCTGGTAAAAGAAAAGGATGGGGAGGAAGTCTGAAACACTGTAAAGAAGGAATTTCACCCCTTCATTTAAGCAGAAGGGAAAGAATCAGACTATTTTGGCTGCTGTGTGAAAAATAAAGATGAGTATGGCTAAGGAACGCGTAGGAGACAATTTAACTAACCTAAGTGAAACACAAGATGATCTGGACTAAGGCCCAGGCAGAGGAAGAAAGAGTACAAATAAAATTTGAAACTGCATCAGGAGGTAGGATCAATACAACCTGGTGAATTAGTTTTCTTAGTAGAGGATGAAGATGAATTCTAGAAAGACTACTGGCTCCTGTTTTGGAAATTCAGGGAGATGGTGCTAAAAGCAAAGACAGGGAATAATCTTAGAAAAATAGTGGAGGCTGAGGCACAATGATTATTCTGCTTTGTACACTCTAAATCTGAGGTATTAATGGGATGTGCAAACAGCAATTTCAATTCAACCACTGAATATATGAAGCTTAAGTTATATGAATATATCTGACACAAGTTAGGTCATCCAGACTAGAATGTTAGGCATTTGACTGACATCACTTTCCTCTCCTGTTTCTGTGGCAGACAGAGTTAACAGACAACTCTTCCTATGGCACTGGGCAAGGTGCTAAGCTCCATGGATGAAACCCATTTGCCATTCCTGACCTAGGGAATTTATGGAGAAAAAAGCAAGCTTGGGCTGGGGATGTGGCTCAAGCGGTAGCGCGCTCGCCTGGCATCCATGCGTCCTGGGTTCGATCCTCAGCACCACATACAAAGATGTTGTGTCCGCCAAAAACTAAAAAATAAATATTAAAAAAATTCTCTCTCTCTTCTCTAATATTTCATGCACATTAAGCTTATTAGCCAAATTATATTTTTATTGCTAGCGTCAAAATAACCGTGTTCCTCAAAATGAGCTTATACCTGATTAGACCTGATTAAATATAATTTAAAATATATATATGTATATATGTGTGTATATATATATATATATATATATATATATATATAATTTATATATATAAATAATTACTCCACATAAATGATCTTAAATATTGGAAGTCTCTTGTCTGATCACTATCTTTTGTTCCCTCACCTCCTCTGCTCTCCTAATAAATGCATCCTCTTCCAACTTCACCAAATTTGCTCTTGGGCTCCCTTATATACTGCTATAGTTTCATCTTCCTCACCATCATAATCATTCACCATCAGCAAACATTTACTGAGGTTTACCATGTGCCGGTCTTCTGCTACATGATGAAAATACAAAAACGACATAGAAATTGAGCTTAAAGAGGCCACAATTTAATAAAGGTAAATGCATAAGAAATCACTGGAATATAACTGGGGTTATAATACAACTACAAATTAAAGAGATATCAAAGGATGAATAGCACCTTCTGGAAAAAATCAGGAACCAGTTTCATAGAATGGATGAAGTAAGCCAATGGGAGAAAGTATGGGATTATGGCTGGAGATTAAAAAAATAAAAGATATAGCCCAGAAGAAAGTCTGTATACAAAGTCTGTATACAGGTGGCCCAAGAATAAAACAGGCAAATGCCATAAAGAATTGTAAATAATTCAGGAAGGTCAGAGTGCAGGCCACAGGAGAAAAGACCACAATGAGCCGAAAAGCAGGTGAAGGCCAGGTCACAGGTGTACATGCCATGTAAGAGTTGAAGTGGAGAGTCATTAAATTCTTTTAGGAAAGTAGGCAATGGGCTTGTACCTGGGTATTACAAAGGTCTCTTAGAAAGCAGGGCTGAAGATGGATTAAATAAAAAAGACAATAGAGACAGAAAGAATAATTCAAAGGTAACTATATAAGAGATGATGAAGTCGTAGCTTAAGGTGGTGATATGAAGGGTGGGAAGGAAGAGGCAGGTTCTAGACATATTAGGGAGATAGAATCAAGGGAGAGTGAATAAATGGATATTAAATATGCATGCAGAAAAAGATTCTTAATCCAAGGGTGGTAGAGCATGCCTGTAATCCCAGAAGCTTGGGAGGCTAAGGCAGGAGTATTCCAAGTTTGAGGCCAGCCTGGGCAACTTAGGCAGGCTCAAAGCAACTTAGCAAGACCCTGTCTCAAAATAAAAAATAAAAAAGTGCTGGGGATATGGCTCAATGGTAAAGTGCCCTTGGGCTCAATACTCAATCAATCAATCAATATAATCTTGAAAATCTCAAGTTTTTGGACTAAGGAACTTGAACTGAGATAAAGTATTAAGGAAGAGTGAAAGAAAGAACAGGTTTGAAGAAGTAAGACAAGAAGTCTGATTCCCTCTGAGTTTGATGAATAGCAACTAGTTTGAGTAATACAACCAAGCTATGGCCAGTAGTTATGTAACTGAAATTATATGGACAAATCTTGACAGTACATATAATTTTTAGAATTATTCAGCAATTAAAATAAAGGAAAGGCTGCTTGGATATGACACATATAATGTGATGAAAACAGCCTAAGATAGAATCCTAGAAAATATTAGTTCTCAGGGTTCAAGGAAGAAAAATAAAAACAAGTGAAACAGACCAAGAAGCAGAAAAGTAGAAGGAGAAACAGAAAAGGAGATATCACAGAGTGGAAGGAGTTTCAAGAGAAAAGAGGGGTGGTGGTGCAGCATACCTCTGATTTTTCCTGTAGCCGCAGGCAGCTATCTAGGAATAGGAGGGATCGGTCCACAGACTTTCTGGCCCTCTTTGTGGAAGTTGTTTCCTCACAAGATGCTTCTCCATCTGAGAGGCACTGGAACCAGTCTGGCTGAAGGGCTTGCTGAATTGCCATGAACTTGGATACAGTCATTTCTACTCGTCCTCCAACACCCCACACAGACACAGACTGCCATAAAGCAAGACAAAGAAGAATTAGCAAGAGTAAGATACAAAAAAGAGAGAAAGCAATAAAGTAATAAAGCATTAATTCTTTACAACTGGAGAGATGGTATCAATTTAGGATCTAGACATGGTGGGTAAAAATATGTCTCATGGAGAGAAAAAGCAAATTTCCAAATTTCAAATGCTCTAGAGATCTGACAGTTCATAAAGAATCCTTCAATGGTAATGCAAGCCAACTTTTGAGTTAGCCCCCCAAAGAGTCTTCGGTCACACTTTTCTAACACAATCTTCCATTGTCCCCAATCACATCTCTCCCACCCCAACCTCACCCTTGCTATTCCTGAACAAACCACAGACTTTGGTTCTTCGCTTTTGATGGCACTATTCCTTTTGACTGACATGTCCTTCTACTTCTTTGCCTGGAAAAATACTATGTGTCCTTCAAAGAACTGAATTTAAATATCATGTAACATGTTCCCCCAACTGTTCCTGGGTGTAATGAATTATTTAATCCTCTAAGCTCTTACAGAAATTTGGATTTCTTTCTTTTACAGAAAAAAAAAAAAAAAAAAACACTTATTATACCATTTTATATTTGTCTGTCTAGAATATTTCACTTTATACCTATATCCCAAAAGCATATTCTGGAGCTCTACATGTTAACATTTAGTAAGTGTTTACTAGGTTCAGGTAGATACAGAATTACATGCAAAGACATCAACCCTTTAGTTCATGAGAATCACTGTATCATATTCCATCTTTGTTTAATCTTTCCCCTACAGGATCTGTTCTTAGATGAGATCACCACGACACAGAGAAGCCATAAATGGTCTTTCCAGTATGTACCAAAGGCATAAGAATACTGTTTAAATGAAGTCTTCCCCTGTTAAATAGGGAAGATAACTGAGGTCAAATATTGCCTTTTGAATTCAAATTATAAAATTTAAATAAAGCTTAAAACAGGAGAATAATTGAAAATAGTATTCTTAGATAAATCAACATTGTTGAGATCAACAAAGTGAGTGCAGGGAAAGTGATTTCACTCGTAAAGCAGTAGTACCTGCTGAGGCCTCACCTGAACACTGTCCGCAGAGATCCTGCCAACGGGGACACCTCTAGATTAAAACTTTTAAGGAAGTCCTTTTGATATCACTCTTCACTAAGATCACTGGCTATGGACCCAGCTTTTCCAAATTCTGTTCTAGTAACAAGCAGTATTACACTGAGGTTCTACTATATATAGTTACGCATGTGATAACACTCACCAGCAACTTCCCCACTCTCCCTGGAGTTATTAAAACTGCAAATACAGCATGGCATCAAAAGACAACTGTCTTCTCCCATCATAGCAACTTCTTTTTTGGGCACATGCTTGACCCTCCTCCACACCCCACTTTTTTGTAACAAAAAATGCTGAGGATATATTCCTCCCCTTAACTCATCCTTACGCAGCCATATTCTCTCTTATATTTCAGCCCAATTCCATTAAAATCATCACAATAAAAAGAAGATATAAAGGAATTCAACCCAGACAGAGAGAATCTCACTTCTGAGGAGACATAACAGGCTGACTTCCCGGAACAAAGCTGCAGCCTTGGAGGCCCTTCTGAGAACACACCTTATTTGTTACATAACCAGCTGGACAGGGGCTGACTGGATCCTGCAGGGAGCAGTATAAGAGTGATTCTGGCATGCCTGTACAAACACAAAGAAGAACCACTGAGAGTGCTTATGTCAACAATAACACTACTGTAACAGGGAACAGCTTCACATATGTATTGGTGGATATATCAGCTCTAACCACAGTAAACAGTTGGTACCTATCTTGGAATTATAAGTGGCCTATCAGCATAAGCAAAAAGATTACTTTGAAACTTACTCATCTAAAAGAATGGAATGTAATGATTCATGTCTAATGATATAGTGAGCTGCTACAAAGAAAAGGTGTATCTTAGAGTATGAGATACAATGAAAAGTTTTTAGTGACATGTTGATCCCAATTTTCTTTAAAGAATTTAACATTAAGTATGCTCATTCTAGGAACCATCCAAAAGGAACTGGTACTAGAAAGATAAAGAGATATAATCAAAAGGAAATCTCATTAACCACAAATCTCATTAATAATAATCATGGGTCCCTAGGGACAGAATTATAGTGATGCTGTGGGATACTACAAATGGATCTCATTCTCAGTATGTTTTGTTTTATTGACTCAAGATGACAGTTTCTTAGGTTCTTTAGGCTAAAAGATAGCCACTTAAAAAAAAAAAAATCTAAAACAACAATTAGTAAACCATTAGTGGTTAAATTTCATATACTACCCAAATTTCCCATAAAAAAAAGCGGGGGATTCCATTCAAAAAGAGATAAACAAAGTGAGTTACAAACCTCTGCAGTTCACCTCAATTTTCCACAATTTCAATTATTATGATTATTTCTAGAAAGCTTACAATAGCTATTTTGACTTAATTACATGCCTGTACACTTTAAAACTGGAGACTATACCTGGCCTCAGATCTAGGAGAATGATGCCACATCAACTCCTCTGATGAACCAACAGAAGCAGAAGACTCACTAACCAATGGAAACAGGATCTGTCTTCACTTAAGTGAGTCCCAGGTATTGGGGAAAAAGCTTCAGAAAAAAGTGGTCCACAGAAAAACTGGTTCTGTACCTGTCACCATTAAGCTTTTCTTCTAAATAAACGAATACATAAATCTGTACCAAAAAAATCCTACTTTTGGAACAGAAGATAATATTAATATACCAGAATATAGCTGTATATAAAGTCTTCATCTGCCGTTTTATGAGTGTGGCTCAAGGGATCTTGAGTATGCTTTGGATGTTGTGTATGTTCCCTCTGTCCTTTGCTCAGTGCCGGTACCTGCCTTGTAACTGTCTGTCTTCCACCACTGCATTCCCACTACTGACCTGGCTAATAAATGCTCTCCTTTGAGCCATCTAAGACGACCCCTTATCTACTCTCTCAAGAATTCTTTCTTTATTCTGATCACCTTCCACATATCCTCAGAGCAGGTATGTGCTCCTCCCTCTGGGGCTATCATGATATACATACATATTCCTAATCCTACAAAGCAGTCACTATATTCTTACTAGAATTACCTGTTTATCTTTATCTCAGCTAGGATCTGAGTTCCATGAGAGCAACAACTGTTTCCTATACAACTGTGAATACCCAATGGCTGATTCTTGGTCCAAAAGATTTCTATTAGAATAATGAATAAATAAATACATGAATAAACTATCAATAAGTCAATAGCATCTCCAAACTCCAAATTCATTTAAGACACAAATAATTTAATTTTTACCTATAAAGTTTCCAACTCCTTTCTTATATTCTGCCAAAACTTCATGATGTTCTGCCCTGTAAACAAAACAGAAAAATACATAATAATGAATCATTCTATGGATACTGCATAACAACTGAAGCCTTCTTCTTCTCACTCAAATAAGCTACGTAGTCTTAAATGCAGTATTGTACAACAATGTACTTCATTATTCAAGAGACCTTGCTAACTAGACTAGGTTCATTACTCAAAATCAAAGCCTTAAATTTGTAAATGGTTCTGGGGAAAGAGAAATTGGCACAGATCAGCTGCTTCAGAATATTTGGATTTTCTTGTTTCTCTTGCCCCTTCAAAGTCACAACTGATATCACAATACTACAGAATCAGTTGATCATACAGTAGGCTCTTCAAGTAAGTACAAAGTTGGTTTATATATTACACAAGTCATTTAACTCCAGCAGTTCCATTTTCATAAAGTAGTACTAGCAAGTTCAAGTGCTAAGGCAGAAAAATTATTGAAGCAGAATAACTATGAGGCTGGTCCATGATGACAGCCCCTGAATTCCAAGTTTAGCTCTTAGAGAGCATTTCTTGCCCTATTCCTACAGGAAGCAGTAGCAGTGAGGGCAGAGAAGGATTGCAAGTTTGTAGAAAAAGCAGCACAGCACTAATACTCAGGATTCATCTGTGGTTCTAGGTCTGAGCCAAATGATGTATACCGATACCTCTCTTCTGATTTTAATATGAAAATCTATAAATACATATGAGTAAAAGACATTTTTCTCTTTCTTACACCTAACTAAGGTAACTAAACTGCTGCCAGAGTCAATTCTTGAATGATGGGGTCCAATACTTACAGGGATGACAGCGTAAGCTGAGCCATTGCAGGAATCCCATGGATATTATGCAGTGTTTGATGAGTCAGGTGTGGGGCAGAGCCAGTCTTGGTGTACAAAAGGCAGCCTGGAATGTCTATGATGTGGTCCCCTGTTTTGCCTAAGTTTTGTATTTTTCCCAAGCGACAGCCATTAACTACCTTGGTAAGATTCAGCTTCATCCTTAAGGATTAGTCCACTTCCTGTAAGAAAAAAAGCATTAAATTTAGAAGCTTGGCAAAATCTAAAGGCTATGCATTTTGGAAAGAAAACAATCTGTATAAAAATGAAAAATAGCATATTATTACTTCTAGTCTATGATTTTTTGGTGGGAGGGGGGATATTAGGAATAGAAGAATGAAAAAAGACACAGAATGTCACAGATCCCTTCTCCAAGGTCCCAGAGCAATATACTGACATCAACTACTTTTAAATTTAGTCATAGAATTTTAGTCAAAGTTGATGAAAACCAAACAGATGGAGGATGGAAGTGAAAAGAATAATCGTGAAAAGAATGCCAAGAAGTCAAGGTTCACTCTTAGCTTTGAAAATGTATATAAAGAAGGGTCCCAATGCTTAGGCAATACTGACTGCTGATATGAACCATTTTTTCCTTTCTCTAATTTGAGAGAATACCAAACAACATAGCAATTTTCCCTAATAATGTTGTTTAGTAACAAAAGCATATTTCAAAACAGCATTCTGATATGAATACACATCAAAGAATGTATACCAAAATCAACAAAGATTATATCTAAGATGGGATTATATTCCAATTTGTTCTCAGATAGTATCTAAACACAGGTGAGAAAAATACATGGAGTATATATGTATTTCACAAGCAATTTTTCATTCCTTTTGTGACTGGGAAAGAAAAACATAGATATCTAATATCTATAGATATAACGGAGAAAGAAGAAAAGATCACCAATTATTTACTGGAAACTACTAAACAATTAGTATTTGGTGTGGTAAAATCTGAGTTCTACTTTTTTTTTAAGAGAGAGAGAGAGAGAGAGAGAATTTTTCAATATTTATTTTTTAGTTTTTGGTGCACACAACATCTTTATTTTTATGTGGTGCTGAGGATCGAACCCAGCACCCCATGCATGCCAGGCCAGCGTGCTACTGCTTGAGCCACATCCCCAGCCCCTGGGTTCTACTTTTAAAATGCACTTCAGAATTGGATAAGCAGGTATGGTGGATCATTTGCAAAATGTCATTCGATATATCAACATTTTACAAATGCTTTAGTACATCACTACAGCCAAATACCATAATCTTACTGTACCCTCTGGAATTCTTTCCAACTAGACTAGGTCAAGTTTTATTAGTAGACAAATTATTACAGCTATCTAGAAACTCCAACCTCAGATCCTGTACCCTTAAAAAATTGTTCTGGATGTCACCCATTATTTAAGATGCTATAAAACAAACAAGCTTACTTATTATTAAGGAAACATTACTTTTTTAGGAGGCAAATTCTTAAAATTTAAATATGACAATAACTATCATTATTAAGCTATTAGACATGAGAAAAATTACTTTCTGTATGATCCAAAAAGAAATGTCATGTTAAACATAAGATATTTGAGGAAAGTCTGGTTGATTTTCTCTGAGTATAACATCATTATTTCAAGTTACCACAAAAGTAAAGACATAAAAATTACTATTATTGGAACCATAGAAATGGAGACTGTTAAAAAGAAAAAGTTAAGGGCTGGGGTTGTAGCTCAATGGTAGAGCACTTGCCTTGCATGCGTGAGGCACTGGGTTCAATCCTCAGTACCACATAAAAATAAATAAATAAAGATATTGTGTCCATCTGCAACTAAAAAGAAAAACAAAAAGTTTTAACAAGAGAATAGTTTGTTTTTTGCTTTTGTTTTGTTTAGTTTTTGTGGTACCAGGGAATTGAGCCCTGAGCATTCTACCACTAAGCTACATCATCAGCCCTTTTTAGTTTTCATTTTGAGAGAGGGTCTCACTAAGTTGCTGAGGCTGGCCTCAAACTTGCTCCTCCCCAGTAGCCAAGATTACAGGTGTGTGCTACCATGCCTGGAAAAGGCTATTATACACCCTACCCCACAAAAAATTGATATACATTAAATCTGATAAGGAAAATTTATCCCCCAGAATTATAAAAATATAATTAAGGCTAATAAGAACACAATATAGAAAACATAGTACCAGAATCATATTCCTTACTTATCAGATAATACTCACCTTATGTATTAATGGATATATATTTTAAACTAACAGAACCCTGAAGCCATTCTGTAGCAAAATTAAAGACAGTACTTTGCAACCTAAGTAAGCTGTGGAGAATTCAAGCAGAGGAAAACACAAAGTTAGGTGAAATGCACTTCATCCCAGCAGCTCAGGAGGCTGAGGCAGGATGACAGGTCAGCCTCAGCAACATAGCAAGGCCGTAGGCAACTCAGTGAGACCCTGTCTCTAAATAAAATACAAAAAAGGGCTGGGGATATGGTTCATAGGTTGAGTGCCCCTGGATTCAATCCCTGGTACAAAAAAAAAAAAAAAAAAGAAAAGAAAAGAAAGGAAAGGAAAGGAAGAAGGAAGGAAGGAAGGAATACATTTCAGCTAGGCATGGAGGCATGACTTGGGAGGATGAGGCAGGAAGATTGGAAGTTCTAGGCTAGCCTGGGCAATTTCACAAGACTCTATCTCAAAACAAAAGACAAAAAGGGCTGAGGTGTAACTCAGTGGTCGAGTACTTGCCTAAAAAAAAAAAAAAAAAAAACTAAATATTTAATAGAGTTCCATCATTGCTACCACACCTTCATCCCCAAGCTGGGACACCTCATAACCATCATCATTCCTTCTGTCATCTTATGATAAGGAATCTAAGGCTCAGCAAGATTACTTAGAGAACTAGTCTGGAACCCAGGTCTTAATCATAAGAGGTATGTGCTCTTCACATTATGACTTTTGAGTAAGAGTAAATCTACCATGCTAAGAGATGCAGTCTGATTTAAAAAAAAAAAAGACATCCTGCAGCCATACCATAGCCACTCAAAGAAAAAGATGATTTTTCAAAATTTCATTTGAAATCTGTGAAACATCTTTCCACCCCAAGAATATACTGTAAAGTCATAAAGAGAAAGTAGCTCTCAAGCTCTGATCTGTGCCAACAGAATGGCACATATGATCAAAGAATGGCTGCCTGCTGTTTTCCTCAAGTCCTCACAGGCTTGCCCTGCTCAGTAAGCTGGCCACTAGTCAGGGATCTGACCTTCTGCCTGGCAAGCTCTGAGTCTGATCTTGTCTATACTCACAGCACAGATCTGTCATTTAGGGACTGGCTCAAACAAACCAACCCGAGACTAAACAACAAAATCAGATTATTTACTCTGGAAAGGAAAGTGGGTCACTCAGTACATTCTTACCCTACAGAATGCCATTTGGGAACCCAAAATAACACTGTGTGCACAAAGCATCAGAATAAGAAGCATAAGTAACAACTACACACATAATGGCAACTAAAAGGAAACCTAGTTTCTCTTAATATATCTAATCAGATTCTTTAAGGTTGAACATGGGTCTCTCCAAAAGTGTGGAGACAAGGAGACCTGAAAGCCCAGACTGGTAGCTTCCAAGACTCAGCTTTCTCTTGGGGACCTTTTAGTTCTTTCCTTGTCTGAGGAAGAATGAACATGTTCTAGAAGGCTCCATCATTTAACAGAAGAATCTCAAGGGTAATTAATCATCTACTCACTCCTGAAGACATATTCTCACACTTCTCTTTCCCACTCTTTCCTCAATTGAAGACATAGCTTCTTTGATTCTTAACCCACAGTCTGTCATTACAGGTCCTTGGCAGCTCTAGTGGACATCACCCATAATTCTTTAATGCAGAGATGGGCTCTCATGTAATACAATGCTTGCATCTCAGAAGTTTAACCCCCATAACTTTAAAGATCAAATTCAAAATTCTTAGCTTGGCATACTGAACCCAGTAGGTCAGCTAGAGAGAAACACGTGGTTCTTTCTATAGCGCTAGACTTTGATGCTGTGTACTCACATTCTGCTGTTTGAGGCTTCTTAAAAGTACCTCCCTAATCATGGTAATTCGACGTGTTGCTGAAGGAAAAGATTAACAAGGGAAAGCAGAAGAATGGGTTTAAGAAGAAGTGTTGTAATGGATAAACTACTATTGTCAATGACTCCATTTTGTGAGGAGGAATGTGAACATTAAGAAATGTGACAAAGCTGGGGTCACATTAGAGTAGAGTGCTTGACTAGCATGCACAAGGCCCTGGGTTCAATCCTCAGCACTGCAAGAACAAAAAAGAGAAAAACAAAAAGAAATCTGAGGACAGCATCAGAGAATGCACTTCAACTAGAAATCAACATTCAAAAATATAAAATGGGATTTTTGTTCAGAGTGAAACAAACTCTTCCTTTTCTCATTCACTGTTCAATGTATGCCAATGTTTTTATAGTTGCACTTCTTTTTGTCAATGGTCTTCAAATATCAACCAGGTTTATTTGTCTTTATTATTATCCTTTCCCCTTTCACTTGTTGTGAGTCTCTTATATTTCTGGTGCTGTACTTTCTACTTTGCTTAACTTATACAGATGAAGTTCCTGGAAAAGTCCTAAGGAAGAACCATCAGAACATAAGGACAAATGACAGGCCTTCCAAGGATCTGTATCTTTACAAGAGCCAACAAAGACTTCTTGCACTTCTGGTAACTTTGTAGCTGTCCTAACACCTTAGTCTACCCTACCATTCAGGTGTCAGGAAAGAAGTAATTTCAAATTATTTCTTCAATGCATTTTCTACATACTGTCATGGAAAGATTTCCAATTTTTGCTAAGGGAATAGAGCAAACATAGGTGATTGCATCTTTTTTTTTTTTAACAATTTTTGTTGCCAATTTTATTGAGGTACAATTAACATACAGTAAGATTTGCCAGTTTTTTTTTGTGTGTATGTAGAAGGAAAACAATAAACATTTATAAGTACAAAACTACCTCTCCCCTAGTTCCTCCATACAGATTCTACAGTAAGTATATATACATACAAAAAAGTATGAAGGGCTTCTGAGCAATATGGTGTACTGAGCTGACTAAAAAAATCAAATAGAAATGATAGATGCTAAAATTCTAGAAAACAGTAATAGAAGATGAGAAGACTATTTGGAGGGAAAGTATTCTAAAATTCTTACAT